TCTCCCAACCGTGACAATAGCTACAAAGCTAGGTGGAGTTCAGCCGCTGTCAGGAGGAGAATTCTAGCTTCCAGCTTCTCTTCTCTTCAATTTTCCGTGGTTTCTCCGATCAACACCACGGGAATGCCGGAGTAGTACCCTAACAAACGAGCCATTGACCGCGCGCGATCTTTCTGGTCTCTTCCTTGACCTATCTTCATCCCTTACACACACTTACATGCAAACACTACCACACATGCCTGGAGACATTTCGGGAGTTTAGAGCTTGTTCCGGCTGGGGTGGTGCCACGCTGATGGGATGTACCTGGGTGGGGAAAACTCTGCAAATCGACGTGTTGGTCGCGCCGGAACTCATCACCCAGCTGGGAAGGGATTAAGATCACCGCCATCTATCGCGATAAAAGCATGACCTACTCTTTCGAGACTAATGACTTTAGCAGTCGACGCGCCCGGAATCGTACTTGTGTGTCACTTAGATGTAAATGCCGCGTCCTACGTACAATTCCAGCGTTTCGGCCGTCTTGCTGCGACCTTCCTCAGGGCGAAATACTTCCCTTTTTATCAGTGAAAACGCGAATGTTGGTAATTTCTTCCGACATCCCCTTCCATCCGTTGACTGCTGTCAGGGTGCTTGATGTGGATTGTGCAACACTTGAGTAGACGCTCGGGACTGAGGTAGTTATTCTGAGGCGGCGCACGCATAAAGGGGGCTGGGAGCTGCAATTGGGCGCGTTTGACAGAAGAGTAGGCGACCGCGGCGGTGCGGTCCCCTGGCATCGGCTGCGACCCCAAACCCGCCCCGCCCCGGTCTGACCCGCACCGCTCCGCTCCACCGCTGCCGGAAATATGCGTGCGACTCTGCTGGAAGGAGTCATCGGAAATAGAAAGGAGAAATTTAAAGTAATCAGATAACGCCGAAAAAATCGCATTGAGGCATTTGGGTACTTCTGGGGAGGGGGCTGGGGACGAGGGGTCTGATGCTTGCAGATAGACGCCTGGAAGGTAATCTGGATGTGAGTGGAAACCTATACTCATAATTTTCCAGAGTACTGGCTGCCCTAACTATGCGCCGATGAGTTTGCTAAATATCACATCGTGGGCTGGGAAAGATCCATTGTGTACTAAAAATGGTGAATTTGTTAATGTAAAATAAAATTGCCTCTGTGCTTGGTCTAAATCAAACCTAGAAACTGTAAATATTTCTTATTAAAAACCAGTAATTGTTTGGATAGATATTGCAATATATTGAATTTAAGAATTAAATTTTATTGCAGCCCTATAAACGATCATCGAATGAAACACTCACGTACTGAATTATTCCTTATTTAATCATTATTCACGATATTGGAATAATAGTTTACTGATTTTTATTAAGTTGGTTAAAATAGTCGCATTGGAAAAGGAATTGAAAAATAAGTCGACAGTTTGACAAATATATTTTGAGCTTGTCCCCTTGACCACTAAAATCTATGAAGATTTAAAATCAAAAATATACAATTTTTGCCAAGTAGAACCACTCACTGATCTAATCTTCATTACCTCGTAAAATGTGCTTCTCCAACAATTCAACATAAAATATCAGGCGTGACAGAAGTAACGATAAACCACTCTATATTGAAGTATTCTCTCCCGATTATTGTACCAACCAAATGCCCTCTTAGCGCTCCCTTATGTATTAAAAACGTCTAGGCGAGTGTACGAGGGAAGAGGAACTCAGGTTCTTCAATTTGTCGGTCTGCATCTGTGCGTGGAGCTCTCCCGCCAACAGCCAATTTGTTGATTTTGGACCACATCTCCGACGACCACTCACCATCACCCGGGTATGTCGATTAATGAGTTCTGGGTTCTTTCGATACTTTTGCACGAGTCTACAGGTCGTGAGAGGGCTTTCTGAGTATCTGGTTATCACACTAAGATAAGAAGGCTTTTGAAAGGTAGACGTTTTGTAGGAAACTTTTTGTAGGAATTTATTTTCTTGATAGAAATCGATGAAACAAGAGGCCATATGTCAATGTTAAGGGTGTTGTGTATTCCCTCCGCGTCGAGCTATTTGATGGCGGAGATGATGGTGTTAGTTTCCCTTCTCTTGAATTCTTCGTCGACTCTAGAGGTTCTCCAGGAGGCCACTTGAAGGCGATATTAATGAAGTAGTGCTCTGCACGTGACGTTACTGACGCTTTCGCGCACACGTCGCGTGCGTATACCACGCTTCTGCCCGCATGCGTGATGAAGGTGAATTTTTAATTTGTTGAATTCTCAGCCTTGAATAACGATACAAGTCGCGAAGTTCTCGTTATATTCTGTGGAACTAGGGCCTGTCTGGTTTCCACGCGAAACCTCGGACAAATGTAATGCCGAAATATTTGAGGCGTTTAGGTGCAAATAATGGTTTACCACACATTTTGAGTAAAATCGAGATTGGCTATTCTGCAGCAAGGGATTAGCGCTCCTTATATTCCATCCAAGTAACCTCGAGAACAAATTACAAATGGCAGTAACAAACCTCGTACGTTAGAGCACGTGCCACTGGTTCTGTGTAAATGACCGAACAAAAAGGCATTTTCCTACGAAAAGTGACAATGTCAGATACCATTATTTACATTCAAAAGTTTCGCCTTGGGAAAGTGTGTTTGCGCGTAAGAGGTCAATATTTTCTCTTTATATATTTTATACGCCGAGACTCTTACAAAGTACTCGCCTCCGCTACTGCACCGGCCGGCGTTTCCTCCTGACTTGCAGCCCCACAGCGCTCAGGGACCTCTGTCCGGAGAGGAAGCTCAAGGGGCGCTCTACCTAACGTACCAGCTGCGGTGGCTCAGGGCATCATCTGATGTTACTGCAGGCCTCAGACTGGCAGGACCTGCGGTCCGAGTCCCGAAGGTGGCAGGATTTTCCACACTAGCTTCGGCATCAGTCGCTGTGTGGGGGAGATTTCCAACGCGAATGTCGGAGAAGTACCTTAATTAACGGAGCAAAGAATGCGCGAATGTTTCCTATCTCTGCTGTGTTCTATCCTCACCCTTACGTACATACACGTACCCTTATATGAACTCCACCTGCTGGGACGGTGCTCCCCCTGGTGGGAGATGCCTGGTTGGGGAAAACCCACAAGCCGACGTATAGTTTGGCGCTGAGTCTCACCATTCAGTGGGGGAAGATCACCGCCACCTACCGTGAAGAAACTTGTACTACACTTACGGGATGTATTACCTTAGCCCCTCACGCGCCCGAAAACAATGTTTACATAAACACATGTTTATGGATAATTAAATTAAAATAATTGTCTTTTTTATTCTGACTGTGCTCAAACCCATTTTAACTATCGGCAATTTGAATCACCTAACATATTTTCTAGAAAATATCAACTTAAAGAAATGTATTATTCTAAGTACTTTCCAAAGTACTTTTTCTTCCAAGCTTAAATAGCGACATTATCTAACATACTATTTCCACACATGTTGATCATACATGTCGACCATACTGATCAACAACAAAATGACCAGGGAACACTACCGTGCACAGCAATGATTACAATGATTACATTCGCTTCGTCGAGAAAACCGTCTCAAATTCCATTCTTGGAACCATTACTTTCAAACTGATACCGACTTTCCGCTAATTATCGGTAACCTTCAATGTTCTCAAATCTTGTCTTGAAGGTGGACAAATTTATTAGAATGTCGAGCCCTCTGTACTGGATTGTAGGATAATGTAGTAATTAACGCGGCGGCTGTGCACGCATTCTCCGTGGGTAGGGTGGAGTTGAGGGGGAATGGGACGGGTGTGGTGGAGCTGGGGCCCGTGGCGCGACAGGTGCCGCCGAGTTGCGCGGCGCAGTGAGCAATCAAAGCGCGCCGTGGGGCTTCGGCGGCGCATAATTCGCCCGGAAGCCCTGCGCCACCGCTATTTCCGGCGCCTCGCCCCGCCCCGCCCCGCCACTCCCGGGCGCCCGAGAAATCCGTTTGCCACTTTGCACGAGCTTTTTTTAAGCCGCCACTCAGCGCCACCGATTCGAAAACGGCCAAATCCATACTGATACTCCTTTGTCGCAAACGAAGAATTTAACCAGCAAAGGTCTGACGTTTGTATTCCTGGATAGGAGTCGGTGCCTGTCAAAGATACCATACTCTCGAAGCTAATGTGACGATAACTTATTACAATATAGGGTGAATATCAATAATATGAACTTGTTAAAAAGTTTTGTTTTATGTCAACAGTAATAAGATAGCAGAAAATACAAATTAACATCCGTACACATTCTCTTATTTTGATTTATTTTCTGAAAACAGCCTGAAATACATATTTATTTGATTTCTTGATGCGCCTGCTTGCTCTTATTGGTTGTGTTTAAACACAGATATTACTTTGCAAATGCCGAATGAATAGAAATTCATTCTCATGACATACGATCAGAGAAAGAGGACATAGCTGAGTATTTTCAGTTTTATCGCATCAGTAGGGCACGCACTTCAAAGCTATCTGAATGCAAATTCGGTCTCCAAAGCTTAGAGAGGAGTCTCGAGGACGTGACAGCGCTCGGCACAGTGTTTACACAACGTGTGCTTCGCAATGTTTCTTGGGCCACGCGTGCTGTCGCTGCCGCTAGCCGCTGCGCGCAGCTGGCGGCGCGCGGCGGCGGCGCGTCGGGAAGGTCAGGGCGGCGGGAGGGCGGGCGGTGCGGGGCGGGACAAAAAGGGAATCGTTTTTTTGCGTTGCGCTGCCCGACCGCCTCACGACACTTGCGCGTCCGCAGTAAGCCGCCGCCGCCGCCGCGCCTCTTCCTACGTAAACGAGGATCGCCTCTCGCGCCAACTCCAATCGCTCGGACGGCCCGATGGGGGAGGCGCCTTCAAGTGCCCCACGTTATTCACCCGCTGTCTGGAGGAGAATTCTAGCGGCCGGCAGCTCCCTTCGGTAGTTTTCCGGGTTGTCTCCGATTAACACCAGGCGAATGCCAGAGCAGTACCATAAGAAACGGGCCACGGACCACGTGCAATCTTTTCTTCCTCTTCCGTGTCCTATTCTCATCCCTTACTTACACATGCACTACACTACCACACATGTCGGAAGGACAGTCGGGAGCTTAGAGCTTGATTCGGCAGGTGGGCGATACTTGTTTGAGGAAAACCCCCACAAGCCGACGTGTAGGTTGGTGCCGGGTTCTCACCATCCAGTGGGGGAAGATCACCGGCACCTCCCACGACAAAACATGCACTTCACCTACAGGACTAGATCTTCGGTATTTTCAGAATACTGCATATGAGGTATTTGCTATTAAAACCGGCCCATTTCCTTATTTACCACAATTCTTTTTTTTCCTTTCTTCGCTATTGTCGCGCTTAGGGGATATTACATAACGAGGCGAAGAGATAAAGTTTATTTCCATTGTGTTCTTACCTAAAAAGTGGCGAGACGTATATCAAACTGCGTGTGGCCGCGAGAAAATGTTTGTTTCTCTTGTAAAGTTCTCGCAAATGAAAACAGTAGGCCTTGATAGCAAGTGCCTCATTCTTATCAGTGGTCATATGCTCTACTTCTCTATTTTTTCCTAAGGGTTCACTGATATTCTGTTACGGGTGGTGCTATTGTGAGAATCTTTTAATATTTCACAGTGAGTGTGCTAATTAATTTTAATTACACATCAACTCATCATAAAGATTTCAGGCAATATAAATGAAGGAAAAGCAAATAACTAATATCTACGAAGCACTAAAGATGTTACGAAATAAAGACGCACAACGGATTTATTGGGAAAACATGTTTCTGCCTCTGGGAACCGGAAAAATTTCTTCTGAAGTTGATGGCCGGAAAATTTGTGGCTACATCGTGATGATGTATTGATAATCCTCCCTTAATCCCCTATTCCATCGGATACAGACGCTTATTTGAATTCTCGTGTTTTGGGCGCTCATAAAACGCGGAATGAGAATCATAAAAAGATGATGAACGAATTCCAAGTAAAGGGAAAAAGATCATAACGGAAGCGTGTCTATCTCCGAAATGAACAAGTATTAGGATGGGCTATTATACTTGTATAGTGTTTGCATAAGCACAATTATATGGGACTCTACAGCGATTTTTCCAACTCTTCCCCCTGGCAGATATCAGCTGTTGACAGTTTCATCTAATCGATAGCTTAAATGTCAGCATAAAGACATCACGGGGGATTGAACATATTTACGAAAAAATGTTTTGCTATATAAGGCTACAGGGCCCCTTTCAAAATTTTCAGAAGCACCGCCCCCTGATCCCTCGACCCCCTGTACGCATGCCTACATAAATCTCTTGAGAAAGCTATCGCTAACCTCTAACTGCACGCACTGGTCCAAAGCCATTCTTCTCGAGGGCGTTGACTGATCTGACATTTTGAGGCGTTACAGCAGACGCTCGGATCATTTGGCTAGCGGAAGAATACTTTTGACAGAATTATGCTGCGACTTTTCCAACTCCGCCATTGGCATGTCTGAGCTGTTAATGGTTTCATCCAATCGGGAGCTTGAACGTCACTATTGTGTAATATAGTATGAATGCTAGGGTTGGGGTTCCAGAAAACGTATACAGGTTGAACTTTCCCTTCATTACACGCCACAGGGAGTTTTTAACTTTTGATGTTAAATAAATAAACAAATAATGAAAAACCCGCGTCGTGATTTTCTGTAGTCGCGAATGTCGGCGGGGCAGCTCCGCCAGGAGGGGGGCGGCACGGTGCAGCGGGCGGTGCTGGCAGAAC